TTAAAAATCTAGACCCAGGGAGACACCTGACTAGCCTCTGATCTTATATCATTAATGGGAAAGCCAGTCTGAAGGCCAGCTGGGACTTACTGTTATGGCTATTTTGTTAAAATATTGAAATGCTCTTCTCTGTTTTTAAACAGCTTTATTACGGTATAATTCACATACGATAAACGTCACCCATAATAATTACTCAATAATTTTCAGTAAATTTATACAGTTGGTCAATCATCACCATAATTTTTAGAACATTTCTATCACTCCCAAAAGAAAACACTGAAATACTTTTATAGTGGTTAGTAAATAGCCACTGCCCGCAGACCCCCAAATGAATCTCCTTCTGTGGCCTCAGAATCCCCACCACAGCTACCCATGATCTAACTACAGGTACCTGGCCCTTGGGGCAGGGAGCAACCAGGCCCTTGCTCCAGCACTGAGCAGCTTCTGTTCTGCACAGTTGGTACCTGTGCCACATCTGTTGTTAAGTAAGTTTCGTATCACCCCTGGGAAGAATCAAGGTAAGTGATCAACTCTTCTGGTTCCCAATCCAGAGCTTTTCACATAGCACACTGCTTTTCAGAAGGACCGGAAAATAAACAAGTGAAAAAAAGAAAACAAGTGCTATGAAATTGTGTCTACATAAAAGATAGACAGGTTTTGAAAAGGGCAAAGGGTATCCATCATCGCCTCTTCAGTAGCGGTGTTCTTACCTTGAGGTTTACAAACTTCCGCCAATGGATGGACTTCTGAGGGTCAGGTAACCCCCTAAAATACAAAATTTTATGAGTATGAGCATTTTTCTGTGGAGTAGGTCCATGGTTTTCATTCGGTTTTTAAAGGGTTCCTCTTTCCCCGCAAAAGGATAACTTTCTAAGAGGTCTAGGGGAGAAGCAAGCAAGGAATGTGCTCAAGGTCTGCAGACCTGGGTAAAAGAATTCTTGATAGGGAGGCACAAGGAAAGCTGAGAAAGTGAAGACAAAGTTCTCCTGAGTCACAATCTTATTTACAAACCAGATATGTATATAAATCAATCGTTTTTGACATGTAAAGTAAGTCACGCAGAATAGGTCACATATACAAACCATCTATTATTTTGTTAATTTTCATTGTCTCTTCTTAGGAGATCCACATGAAATGACTAGTTTAGATTCAAAATTATAAAAATAATACTTTTGTAGATATGCTTTTTTTAAAGTATCACTCTAAATCATGAATTTGGAGTTTTCGATACTTTTTTTTTGTCTGCGCCCCTGCGGCGTGTGGGATCTTAGTTCCTCGACCAGGGATTGAACCTGGGCCCAAAGCAGTGAAAGCACGGAGTCCTAACCACTGAACCGCCAGCGAATTCCCGATACTTTTTGAAATCCCATTTACAGCTCAGTTGGATTACGTTAGCATTTTTAAATTGTTAACTAAAGCACCCCAGTATTTCTACAAAATTTACAGTGAAACCAAGTTCCTTATTATACTTATAAAAGTGATTTTTAAAAACTCAAAATACTACATCATGTCCATTGTATTTTATCTTAGACTTTTAAACATAGTATATATATATATATATTTTGCGGTCCACAGGCCTCTCACTGTTGTGGCCTCTCCGGACGCGCAGGCTCAGTGGCCATGGCTCATGGGCCCAGCTGCTCTGCGGCATGTGGGATCTTCCCGGACCGGGGCATGAACCCGTGTCCCCTGCATCGGCAGGCAGACTCTCAACCACTGCGCCTCCAGGGAAGCCCTAAACATAGTATTTTAAACACATCTTTTCAAATTTTGATTCCCTCTGATAGGTGTGTGGAATTTGACATCTGGAAAGAAAACTTGGAGATTTTACAGTCTGATTTACTCATTTTATTGATAAGGAAATAAACCCAGAGACATTAAGAGCCTTGACCAAGCTTGCTAGTGACAGAGCTGGGATAAGAATACAAGCCTTGGATTCCTGGCCTGTTGCCTTTTCCAATCCAATAACCAAGCTGCTGGTTGCTAAACTGCCCCTGTTTCTCTGATGAGATCAGCCAGTGGGAGACTAAGAATAAACCACTCTGGGGAGACACAGACTCAAGTAAGGACTCATCAGCTCTGCCTCTTCATCCTCCAACAAGTATATTCTCATAGGACTGCTCCTAACACACCGGTCTACTGAATCACTAGAACTCAAGCATTCATAAATCACATGACATTATCAATATTGCAGGATTTGCCCATTGATCCCTTTGTGGGTCCTTTAAGAAATTAGACTATGTGGTTTCCCATATTTCTTCTCCTTTTCTGCCAGAAAGTCCAGCTGCTTTTAGTCCCCTGTGTCACAGGCTCTGCCTTTTCCTTGGCAGGGAAGACCTCAGGCACATACACAGCTTGTGTACGTCCTGGTTTTTTTCTTCCAGGGAGATGGAGGTGGGGGTAGTTTGTGAGGTGAAGGAGAATCACTTCCTTGAACCTGATGGTCATTTCTAATTGCTATGGAAATTAAAAAATGAACATCATTATCAAATCTAACAAAGACAGCTATTATTCCTTAATATTATCTGATACCTATTTTCTGCTTAAATTTCTCCAGTTGTCTCCAAGGTATCTTTTTTTTTAAGAGAGAACTTTTATTATTTTTATTTTTTGGCTATGTTGGGTCTTTGTTGCTGCTCACGGGCTTTCTCTAGTTGCGGCAAGCAGGGGCTACTCTTCGTTGCGTTGCGTGGGGTTCTCATTGCGGTGGCTTCTCTTTTTGCAGAGCATAGGCTCTAGGCTTGCGGGCTTCAGCAGTTGTGGCGTGCGGGCTTAGTTGCTCCGCCACATGTGCGATCTTCCTGGACCAGGGCTCGAACCTGTGTCCCCTGCACTGGCAGGCGGATTCTTAACCACTGCGCCAACAGGGAAGTCCTCGTATAGAGTTTATGAGAGCTCCACTTCCTCTCCTACTTTTGGAATTGTCAGGCATTTTGTCTTTTGCCTATCTGATAGGAAGCTCCACTCTGTAAAGAAATGCGATGTGTAAAAAACAAACAAAACAAAACAAAAACTGAAGAAATGAGATGTGAGCCTAGTCCTCAAACACTGTATAGTCAATTGTTTTAGATATAAACATTTCATGCTTCCTGGAGATAATTATATGCTCCCACCCCATCTGAAAGTGACTGTTTTAGCTCCTGAGTACATGAGGATCTTCTATATATCAATGAAAGAATGAAGAAGGTAGTGAGGTAATTATGTACTATTTACTATTTCCTGGAAAGATATGACTGGTACTGACTTTTCCCTCCTATGAAGATCCTCTTTAACACACATAAAATCCAAGGGACCAGGTGTTGATTTTACTGTGAGGAGTATTAGGATTCCTGTAACCCTTTTCTTCCTTATTAGTATTTGTCATGGCAGGTTGTTGATTCTGATGATGTCATAATGCTTTGTTTGTGGAGTCATCTAAAGACACATACCTTAGGAAGAATTGGCTTTTAAACAAAGTGAACCTTAGATGGTAAAACCATCAATTTTCTGAGATCATAGGGATAAAGATCTCCAGAAGAAAATAGATCTGGAAAAGCTTTCCTCTTTCATGATTTGAGTTTTACTCAGTTGAAATGTAGGCAACACAACTGGGCTGACACCTGATATGTTTCTGGATCATCCTTGGCTGCCAGAAGCCTCCAAACATTCCTCAAGGACACAGTCATTTTGCACAACAAAGGGAAAACCAGCCCATTTCTGGCAATCGGGTGGAAGTCTAAGAGGAAAAAAAGTATACCAATATAAATTCCTCTCTAGCGATGAAGAATAGGGTGTTTAATATTATACCATAGAATAAGTAGGGTATTTTAAGGATCTTTTTTCCTTTTTTGAACGCATTTTACCTTAGAAAATTTCACAGAGAACGTAATGATCTAAAGAGTGGGAAGGATGATATCTTACATTGCTCTTATATTTAAATCTTACATAAATTTCTTAAAAGAACTCCAAGTTAATAAAATGACCTTCTTAATAAAAGCCTTCTTCTCATGTATCAGCCTCCTACATTAAAAAAAAAAAAAACAGAACAGGAAGTGCAAGCATTTGGCTTCCATTTTCCTTTTATAAACCAATAACATCTTCAGTTCTATGTGGCTTCTGATAAATGTTGGCAGAACTGGTGCACTCCCAGAATAAATTCTGTGTACTCAGCTCTCCCTACTCATATACATCCCTAGGTGGAACGACCACAAAACTGCCCACTACAAAACAGGCTGAAGAGAAATCTGGATGTGACAGAAGGTATGTGTATATTATAGCGTGACACTGATACATTAAAAACAATTTCATGTCTAGGGTCAAATCTCTAACCAAGTGTCAGTGCCGTAACACTATAACTATTACTGATACACGTGAAGTTTCAAACTGAGGGGCTAGGGTAACGGGACAGAAATTGCACACAAACAAAAGAAAAACTTCCAAATGTTCTCTTCCCCTTAAAGCAAGTTTCAGTTCTACAAATCTACCCTTGCCTTTAAAATATCAAAGTGTCGTTCTGCCCTCAATTCTCATCCTGTTGTGCAAGGAAATCTGTGTCTCTCTTCCCCAGATTAGGAATATGAGAAGATTTCCAGGTCCGTAAAGACCAGAAAGCAGCCCTGCGGCAAGTTTTATCTTGCCCCAAAGCTGTGAAAGTGGGCATGGTAGTGTGGAAAAAGCATCCGAAAGGAAAAAATCTGTAAACCATACACCTGTGGTTGGAAAAACAAAACAAAACAGAAAAAAAAACCCCAAACCCACGGATCTGGACATCAGGATCTCGAGGTATAGACAGAAAAAAAAGAACAATCGTGGCTCGGGTCAAAACCCGAGAAGCGTTTCCTAAGCGATCGGGGTAGTGAGTGGGGATCTTAGTGGAGGATGGAGAGCTGGATGTGACCTAACGTACCGACACCGCCATTCACCGCGGCCGGGTCCGCGCCTCCCCCTCCGGACGCCTAGTGCGCCAGCCAATCCCCTCGCGCACTCCCCTTCCCATTGGAGGCCCCGCCCCCCGCGCCGGGGATGCTGGGCCCCCGCGGCGTGACGCAAGCACGGCAGCTCCGCCCCCTGCGTCTCTGGCCTCGCCGGTCTTGGGGGGGGGATGGTTCTATCATGGCGTCAATGCAGGTAAGAGGAGTTTGCAGCATCTGGGCGGGCTCCGGAGCCACAGGGAGGATACGAGCGTTTCGTCCGGGGGGGTGTCTGGGACTCTGGGCACCTGGGCCGGCTCCGGAGCGGCCCCGGTGGCCGGTCCTTCCCCAGCGTCCGGGCGTTGGGAGGGGTGAGAGGCGGCGAGAAGAAGGGGGTTTCTCGGTCGGTCGAAGCGGACACCAGCCGGCCGGGAAGTTGGGGGATAAAGAAGGCTAAGGGGAGGAAAGGGCGAAGTTTGATGTTCGCTCAGCGGCAGTGGTCTCGGAATCATCTCCAGCTCACCCGGACGGCTCCCGCTGGCCTGACCCCCGCCCCAGGGATGTCTTTTCCTCCGCGGTCCCCGGCTGGGCGGAAACAGCTGCTGTCGCCGTTGTCGCCGGGGCAGGGGCGGCCCTGAGAGGGGCTGAGTGTGGGGAGCTGAAAAGGCGTTCCCGGAGAAGGCGGCTGGCTGCAGAGGCGTTTCGCGGCCTCTGTTCAGGCCTCCCACGCCCGGCCTCCCTGGCCTGCTCGGCCCCTCGACTCCCCTTTTGACTCTTAGTCCTTTGCCCCAGGGGTACCTTCCTTTTTCAGCCTCCGCACTCTCAACGAACATACGTCCAGCAGCCCATTTTCTCACTCTCCCCGAAGCTGCAGTTAGCCCATCAAAGTCATTTGCCGCCTAGTATGCAGTCTCCCCGAGAGACAAGCCACCAGCTCCCCATACCTCCCGGGATAGATAGCTCGCCCTCAAATCTTTTTATTTCCTACGGTGCCCCACCCTTGCGGTCGCGGTTAGGCTACAGCCTTTTACCCCTCTTCCCCACATCTTTATTGGAACCTTAGTTTGGTAGGAGGTGTTTTGTTAACCCATGTTGTATTTACCTGACTTGGCAATGCGTGGTTTTCTGGTTTTCCAACTTAATAGGCTCCTTTTTACCAAATCCAAGGAGTTTGATTTTTTTTCAGGCAAAGATGGCATCCCCAGTTACAGTTCTGTAGAGATTAACTGTGCATTATCTATAGCTTGCATTTAATTTACAGATGAAGACTAGCTCTGTCAAAACACAGGAAGAGAAGGCAGAACTCCCGTTTGGAGTGTCATCTGAGCGCTTTTTAGAGTTTTAACAACATCTTAAAGGAAGAGACCACGTTTTTCTTGGAAGGATTTTATGCTTTTGTTTCTAGAAGAATAAGCACGTTTCTCTGTCCCTTTTTTCCTCTTTTTAGGAGAGAAAAGTGCTTTTCTTTCATCTCTTCTCTTTTCAGCATCTTCTTCCTCTTCTGTGCACGTATTTGTTTCACATTTACTTCTGTGCTTTTGTGTTGTCTGTCCCCTTTCAGCCTCTCCATTCAAGACTCTTTTTACCTTTGCTTCTCCCTCTGGACTTTCCTGCAGAATAGAAAAAGAAAATTGTATATAACATTCCTAGTTGAAGAGATGTCATGAAGTAATCCAGAGAAAAAACAAGAACAATTTCAGAAAACATTATACTTTACCCTAATCTCCCCAGAGACGTTAGAGAAGTTTCATCATTTGGGCCAAAAAAGGAACTGTAGAACACTAGTTGAACAGTAGATCGGCTATATGACCAATTTAAGATTATTTGTATTAAAAGATTAAAATCCACTATACTTATGATTATATTTGGCAGGAGGATTATAGGGATAATTAATTTGCTGATTAGATTTAGACTTTGAGTGTCTGGAGAAGACAGATTTCAGTTTTTAAGAGAAAAAAACTTGAGTCAGTACAAAACAATGTTGGCAGTCTTGAATTTTACATGGCGACTTAAGCAATGGAAAAAATACTAGGCAGTGCGATACTGCGTTTTTCTGCATCCCAAGTACTACCTCTGACTGTCTTTCCACCCTTTATTCCTTTATGTCTTCTGATTAGAGGAATGGAAAACTGATGTTTCCTATTTTAATTAAAACTAAATTCTTCCTTTTATTTGTATTGTAAGAATACCTGATACAGATTTTCTGGTAGTATCTTTTTTATTAAAAATTTTTTTTATCGAAGCATAGTTGATATACAATAGTTTATGTTTCAGATGTACAATATAATGATTCACAGTTTTAAAGATTATACTCCACTTATAGTTATTAGGAAATATTGGCTATATTCCCTGTGCTGTACAATATATCCTTTTAGCTTATTTTATACATAGTAGTTTGTACGTGTTAACCCTGTCTCCCTATCTTGCTCCTCTCCCTTTCCCTCTCCAGTGTTAACCACTAGTTCTTTATATCTGTGAGTCTGTTTCTTTTCTGTTATATTCACTAGATTTACTTTTTAGATTCCACATGTAAGTGATACTGTACAGTATTTCTTTCTCTGACTGATTTTATATCACTGAGCATAATACTCTCCAAGTCCATCTATGTTGTTGCAAATGGCAAAGTTTCATTCTTTTTTACAGCTGAGTAATATTTCATTGTTTGTGTGTGTGTGCATGTGTGCACACCAACATCTTATTTATTTGTTCATATGTTGGTGGATACTTAGATTGCTTCCATATCTTAACAGTTGTAAATAGTGCTGCTATGAACATTGGAGTGCATGTATCTTTTACATTAGTGTTTTCATTTTCTTCTGATATATACCCAGGAGTGGAATTGCTGGATCAAATAGTAGTTCTAATTTCTGTTTTTGAGGACCCTCAATACTATTTTTCATAGCGGCTGCACCAGTGTACATTCCCACCAACATTGTACAAGGGTTCCCTTTTCTTCACATCATTTTCTGGTAGTATCTTGAAAAATATTTTAATATACATAAACTGAGCTTTTGAAACACAACACTTTCTGTGTGGTTATTCTGTGTCTTAGAACAAAATTTTTTCCTGACCATCTTAATGGCAAAATTTAACTCCTCAAAACAAATAAATTATACATAAAACTACAGCTAAATTATGAAATTTGTTCATTCACTCATCAGTTATTTTTTTGAGGGCCCACTATGTGTCTGGTATTCATCTAGGTGCTGGGGATACAGCAGTGAACAAAAGCAGGCAAGATTTCTGCCCTTGTGAATGTAATAGTCTGGTTAGGGGTAATGGATAAAAACAAAATATTTAAGTTAATCGCTATTATATTAGAAGGTGATAGTGCTATGGAGAAAAATTGTGGAAGGAGGTTAGGAAATATTTTTTGGATTTTAGTTTGAGTGCTTAGGAAAAAATAAGCTATACATGAATGCTGCTCTAACCATGTCCTTACCTAAAAAAGTTTTCAGTAGATTTCTTTATCTTAACCCACACCAGGATATTATTGCTGATGAGGAGGTTACTTAAGCTGTAAGAGGAACTGTATTTTAGAAACAGGCATATTATACAAATGTAACATAAGACTTGATTACTTACATTGATAAAAATAAACAAATGAATAAAACAAATTAGCCTTTAGGATCATCAGGCTATCAAGTAAAGGTAGACTTTGAATTTCTTCTTTGGAGAGTATGTTGTTGTTTTGTCTTTTTTTAAAAAATTTTATTGAAGTATGGTTTTTTACAGTGTGTTAATTTCAGGTGTACAGCACAGTGATTCAGTTATACATTTACATATATATATATATATATATCCTTTTTTAGATTCTTTTCGGAGAGTATGTATTTTAAAGTTGATGTTGTAACTACTGCAGTATACTCTATCAGTGCCTCTCAGCCTTTTTTTAGGCTGTGACACACACAGAAAATACGTTTTGAATTGCACACCAGGGTGGGTGAGATTGTTGGAGGCTAGAAGCACCTGGCCAAGCAGCTCAGAGTGAAACACTGGGGATGAGGATCAGTATTCTGGTACACCTGTAATGCTGGGGAAGCTCTGCTCTGTAGTTTTGCTAGAGTTGTTCTTCAATATATAGTTCAAGATTGTGGTTTTCAGATTTATATGAGCCCTTTGAGATGTTCTTTCCCATTTTTTTCTTTTTCTTTTTTTCTTCCTAGAGCAAAGTCACAAATCACCAAGTAAGGTATGATTAGGTTATGTTTTAAGAAACCATTCTTTGAGAATGGTGGGTTCATGGTGATACTTAAAATTGGCAGGAGTTAGAGTAAAGAAATAGATTTACATTTAATTTTGATGATTCTAGAATTCTTAAAATATTATGTGGAAAGTTGTCGATAACAAATTTTTAGATTTAGCATTTTTGGGACTTAGATAAATTGGTACAAATTTTCTATCCCCAAACTACAAAAGCATTATTAAAGTGAATTTTTATGTGATTCAAAACATTTCTTAAGGGCTTCCCTGGTGGCGCAGTGGTTGGGAGTCCGCCTGCTGATGCGGGGGACACGCGTTCGTGCCCCGGTCCGGGAGGATCCCACGTGCCGCGGAGCGGCTGGGCCCGTGAGCCATGGCCGCTGGGCCTGCGCGTCCGGAGCCTGTGCTCCGCAACGGGAGAGGCCACAACAGTGAGAGGCCTGCGTACCGCAAAAATAAATTAAAAAAAAAAAACATTTCTTAAAAGTGTAGCAATATTAGGGTATTCTGTTTGCAGCTAAACCATAAAATAGTATTTTTTGTGTTATGTTTCTTTTTTCATTTTGTACCTAATCTTTTTTTCCCCCTATTGGCTCATTTCATATTATAAAATAATTAATATTGCCTCCTGGATATTTCTGATTTTAGAATTTAGCTGTTTGATTCAGCCTTTATGTTAGAAGTTTTTAAGTATACCTGGTATACTTTTCTAATTTAACCATCTAGATTTACTGATTTTAGGTAATGAACTACTTTTACCTTATGTCTTAAGATCTTAGAAAGTCAGTGTATAGTAGTTGATATTTGTCAATTCCAGAAATAGTGATATAATTGAAAGAAATGGTCAGTTGAATTACTCTTGCAGATTTTCTGAGTTATCTTCCTCTCTTACTTAATTGGGTCTTAGACTATTGACTGTTGACTTGACTAGATGGAAAGAGATTGAGATTTAGTAACAGGAGATGGATTATGAATGTGTGTTTTTTCTTAGATGAGTTAGAAATAATAAATTAT